GTTGTTTTATTGCCAGTCTATATTGAACACAATTTCTGCCATGTGAAGGATTTAACATCATTAGCTAAGCCGTTATTTTATTTAACAAATTTCAGGAACTTCCAGACTATATCGAGTGGCAAAGATCACAAAATTTCAATAAATATTAACACCATGAAAATCATAGAAAAAAAAATGTTGCAAAAAAAATTAAAACGGAATTGGAAAAATTTTGGAAGATATTATTGAATTTCAAATAATTTACTTCCTATTTTCGTGTCGTTTTGTTTACATGAATCTTTTCGATTTAAAAGGAACCATAAACAATACTTGATAATTATAACAAATATTTCCTGGTAAACTTTTATATAATAATAGATATTTTGTTGGGATAAGAGAATAAAATAAATTGTGTAACTAATAGAGTCGTTTTGTGGTTTTACCGTTATATCTTGGCAGTTTCTCATTCTGTACGTGACCGGATCTCATGATGCGGTAAAAGGATAAAATGTCCTGCCCCGCAAACAATAAATCCCCCAAATTATACCCGGAAAGTTCCAACGTCGTGACGACGACGCCCTAAGAATGTTGTCGCAGTTCCAAATAAGCATTTGGAAAACGAATGGTGTAGCGAGAATCTGAAATTGTTATTGCTCCCAATTAAGCCGAGTAACGCACGAGACGACGTTTCGCGGTTATTTCCACGTTTACGTCGTCTTCGTACTCGCTGCGTATAGCTGACGTTTCCAGGATTTCCCGGATTTCTCGGATTAAGTGAAATACAGCGATATGCTTTACCATTAATTCGAGGTAATTGCATGCAATTAAACGTGATATCTGCGTCCTTCGTTGTCACATAAAAGCGAAACCGACGCATATGTCAGAGTGTGGCCGGTTTTGATCTAATTCGGGAGTAAGTGCTCAATAATTCTTCTGAAATTGAACGGGATTACTGCACACGTTCGGACCAAGTTAAGCTCTTGATTTAAGAGAGACTTCGTCGACGGATAGCGTTCTAATTAGAGTCTTCCTCTTGAGATATGGGTATGTATATAAAGAGTAAAAAAAATTATATAAGTTGTAGGTATCAAGAAGTTAAATCGGGAAGGAAAAGAATGTAGGAAGTTGAAAGGGGAAATGATTGATAAGGTTTCCTTTCAGTTGATGCACGAACGAGACAAAGGACGTAGAGAAATGATGGACCTTGGCCGATAAAACTCATGGAGATGGGCGGCATAAAATCGCCCTCGTCCTGAAAAACAGACAGCTATTATATCGAAGCACGAAACTTCGAAGGGTAAAGAATGGACAACGCGTGACCTGGATAGATTTTTTAACAACTGTTTTTTCAAAAACAAATGATAAAAAAATTAAATTAGAATCCGGCGCATCCACCATTTATTATCAAGTATACTAGAAAATGTGATAACGGACATAGTAATACGATTTACTTAGTTTTAATCCAAACTAACGTCTTTATAAATCATAAATGGAATAGGAGTACATGTAGCTAAGGCAAATACATGTTCCACCCACAAAGGCCGTAAATATTCATTTGGGAGCATGCAACCTCTAAAAAGTCCACCGCTCGCTTCCTGCATTTATTCTTACCTCCGGCATCTCCACGGATTTATTGTTCCTTTTCCAGGGTTAATATTCCTTGAGATAGAGCCAGAACGACTCGGAACTCTTGTTTCGCAGGATGATATTTAATGTATTACGTGCAGGGAAAGCAATTTTCTTATCAATACAATCTCAAAAATTTCTTTTCTTTGTCTTTTGCACAAAGTTTTTTAAAACCAATTACCATAAATTCCATGTTAAACTCGGGTCATCAACCCCATTGCAACCGCCGTTGAAAGATAACGCCCCCATGTTCGTTTCGCCCAGCACCCCTTCTTTCACTTCCGCGGGGCGAAAATATTGTTTGAGCGAGCGGCAACAATACGTTCGCCTAAATAATTCATGAGCATATTAGGCGATCCTGCTGGATTCGGCCTTTCATGGCTCCATTCGGATTTCAAAGACGCTATCGCAAGATCTCGACTAAGATACGACAGTATAAACCTACTTTCTTGGTTCGAGTGTTGCCGATAAAATGAGACGGATTCCGCCTTTTTATCTTTCATTCCAAAAAACCAGTAGTACGTATTAAATTTATTATGAAAATTCAGTTCTTGTTCAAGAATATTACCTTGGCATATATCTGTAAAGTCTAATATTCAGAAGAAATAGAATTATGAATTCGCATCCTCTCGCCAATAAACTTAAGAGTATCGTGCAACATGTGATTATTGATGTATTAAATGTTACATGAAAAGTCGAGTAACGCCATAATCGTAGTAAGAATAGCACGAAATAATTGGGAGGGAATTTGGGTCTATGTTAGAAAAGCAATTTCAGCAATAAGATGTTTCTTATTTACAAACAGAGCAATTATCAAGCTGTGTTTAGGAAATTAAAACAATAATAATGAAAGAAAGCAAGAAAAAGATATTATTCCAGGATTAAAAATTGTTGAAAAAGATATAAAAGAAAAAGAGATAAATTATTTAATGATGGAAAATACAACAGTCCTCGTTTTCTATCCCGTTTTTGTTCTCTTTTCAGTCTGTCTTAATTTTTTTCTTATATTACCAGTCTTCCTCTTCTCTTTCCAATCTCCGTTCAGTCTCTTTGTTATAATATCAGTCTCCTTTCTGTCTTCCTCCTCTCTGACAAGAGTTATTTTGCTCTATTCACTCTTTTTCTTTTATTATAACTCTGTTTCCAGAGTTCATCCTTTCTGCCCAATCCTTTTCGTCTTTTGTCTTTCTTTCTATTAGCAACCTATGTAGAGACCCCTTCTCTGAGTCAACCCTCGTCTCTGTACAGTCCCCCTTTCTCTATCCAAATTTTGTTCAGTCTCTTTCTTCTATTACAAGTTTGTCCTCAGACTTTCTCTTCTCTGTATAGTATTACTTTTTCTGATCAATTTCTTTCATCCATTACGAGTCTCTTTCTAGCATTCATCTTCTCTGCATCTGCGCAGTCTCGAGTCAGTTTCTGGTCTATCCAGTTTTTATTTTCTCTAACCACTTCCTTGTATACCCATTTCCAGTCTTCCTCCTTGTGCAATAATTTTTCTGGAATTTACAGTCTCTTTCCAGTTTCTTGTCTCCATACACCGTACTTCTTTTCTTTCCTGTTCCTACTCATTTTCTTACTTTCATTACCAATCTCAGTTCAGCACCCTTTTGCTTCTTAATTAAAAGGCTTTAAGCTATCTCCCTTATTTCTGCACATTCTCTTTTCTTTTTTACTAGTTTCTTTCCAGTCTCTGGTTAACCAATATCTTATTTATTTTATAGAACAATAACAAGCTATAGAACAACACAGAATAACAAATAAAAATGGTTTCATAGAAAAATGCGATGTACCCTACATCCTCAAGATAAAAAATTCCGAAATCCGGCCGGATACCGGATAGTTAACAAATATCCGGCTTTGGCCGGATATTAAAAATCTCCACCATTCACCATTCACAGGAATTAGTATCTCTTTTAAGTGTTGGACACTGCAGATAATAATCAAGTTCAACCCCAATAGGACTTTTTCCATTGAATACAACTTTATTTATATTAGGTTTGTCATTGGCAACCTCATTGCAACAATCCCAATACGATATGTAAAATCATTTGTTGCAGTTTCGTCTAGTTTTCTTCTCTTCGCTTGTAATTCATCATCACATTCATTACTACAGAACTGTCGCTTTTATCACTTTCGATTATTAATTAAAGTATCCTCTTTTTAATACAAAAAGCCGTTTTGAAAAATCACTTTCAGTTCTTGAGAAATAAATTTTTGAAGTGATCAACAATTTTTTAGAATTTTACAATTTTTGCCGAGTAAGTTTTAAAAATTCGTATAAAATCTAGCTCTTGGAATATGAGTATGAAAATTTCCCAAAGTGTTAATAAAAGTGCCCTCTTTCCAATGAACCAACCCGTTTTGAAAAATAACTTTTAGTTTTTGAGAAAACAATATTTGAAGTTTTGATAAAATTTTCGATGTTGCAATTTTTATCGATAACTTTCAAAATTCGCTATAAAATTCATTTCTTGAAGGATCCTGATGGAAATATCAGAAATTAATAATTATAGTATCCTCTTTTTAATGCAAAAAGCTGTTTTGAAAAATCACTTTTAGTTCTTGAGAAATAAATTTTTGAAATAATCGACAATTTTTTCGAATTTTACAATTTTCGCGGATTAAGTTTTAAAAATTCGTATAAAATCCAGTTCTTGGAATATGAGTATGAAATTTTCCAAAATATTAATAAGAGCGTCCTCTTTCCAATGAACCAACACGTTTTAAAAAATAACTTTTAGTTTTTGAGAATGTAGGGTATCACTCTAGAAATGTACTAGAAATTAGATCTATAATGGCCGGATAGATATGCCGGATAGCCAAAGGGGATATCCGGTATCCGGCTTTTCCCAAATCACTATCCGTTCTATCACTACTAAGAATGTAGTTTTATCAGAATTCTACATATTTCCGATTTTGTGTAAAATGTAGATCGAGCTTGAAATAGTTTTTGAAACAACTTGGCATTTTTTTTTTTAATTTAGACAACTTTAAACAATTTTTATTATTTCCTAATTTTAAACCATTTCAAATGTAGTGTACCCTATAACAATACACCTTTGTTGAAATGTAACTGATATATCGAGACAGATTCCCCTTTTTATGTTTCATTTCAGAATACCAGTAACACACATCAAATTTACGATAGAAGCTACCAATTTTAAACAACTCCATCAGTCGTAAAGCTGTTTCAATCGAGATTGTTCCGTTTCGACTGGCAAATCCTGTCCGTGACGGAATCACATCTCATCGCCTTTGCGTTGAGAGTTTATGAGAGTCCTGTTCTTTCAAACGCTGAAAGTGGGACGCGCTGTGGGGTTTTGAAGGAAAGAATTGGGTTCGGGGTGACCGAGGACACCTAAATTTAAAATAGGACAACGGAATCAACTTACAATCGTTTTAAATTGGGATTGCTTGAAAAGGCGTTTGGTGATATCCTCGTCAATTTATTATCTGCCAAGATTCTAAAACAAAAAAAAATTTGTAAAATTACGTTTTGTATATGAAATTATTGAACAAAAAAAGATATAATCAAAAAGCAATAATAAAAGCGCAAGTAATTCATTTTGGTAGTTGATATGAAATTCAATATTTTATCATTTTAATCTGTTGTCGTTTCCAATAACGTGTCGATAAACCCACATTGAATAAAAGGGAATTAATAAAAAGCTTTTTTCTCTTTTAAAATTTTCAATTTTTATTTTTATCCAAAATATTCCAATCAATAACCACCCAAAATTGTTTTAACTCGCTAAATAAAGACTGGTATTTAGTTAAAATTAAAATCTGTTCTACTTACAGTTCTTGTAATTGTTGAAATTTATACAAACTCTTGTCGTGTAGTTCAGTCAAATTGTTACTGGTTAAATCTCTGAAAAGAAAGAAAAAAAAATCAATCCGAAAACTTTTTAATAAACACGCGATCTAAAAAAAGCAGGGATTGTCTTGTATCTTCTTATGTGCGGTACTTATTCCAAGTGGAAAGCTACGATGTCTCGTAAAGCTTTACAAAGCTCGGGGTCGCATCGCAACCATCAAGAGGGATACAGGGAGATTTCCGACTCCTATAAAACGATATTTTTATATGCGCCGTAGAAGTAGAGACTGTTGAATTACGACTCCTGTTCGAGTGGAATAAGTGCGATATTAAAAAAGGACGTAAAAGCACCGCGACCCAGGGTTAACCAATTTTTTTTACTCATTGTTTGTTCAACCAGAAGGGTAGTCTGAAGAATGAAATATTCGGACGTGGAAATATTGTACTTTCATCTAGCTTATTTTACTGCCGAGCCAGTTTTTTATTCACGTTGATTTATATCTGACGTGAAATTTAAATAAATTTGAACAAAACTGTGAAAATTCATATTTCAAAAAATTCTAATTTTATTTATAAAGATTATGAAGCGAAAATAAAACACTTTAAATTTATTTCGATTATGTTTGACAACATGATCAAGATCGAATGTAAGATAAAGTTTTAATTAACAACCCATTTTCAAAACTTTTCTCTATTGGCATATCCAATTTCATTTAATTTATGAGGCTACAATTTACATTTCATTAGCGTTCAAGAATTTCAAAGTTCTTAGCGACTCGTTTGCGTCAAATTGAGGTTTCACGCTAGCAAAAGATTTTTGTAATCTCATTGATATTAATTGAACGCCGTTAATCTGCATCTGATCATAACAGAATATCTTTTTTGTTGTCGTTGCGAACGCTATTATTCCATCAACCTTATATTCTAATGTAGTTCGGACACCTGTCGGTCGTCGCGACGCCGTTCTTTCTCTCTTTCTATGTCATTCTATCTTGACGATCGAACTGGACCGTTACTCTCAAATCGAAACACGTAACCGGCACCATCGATCATGTAGTAGAAAGCTATAGAGATCCCGAGAGATACACCATCTCTACAGCATGTGTACTAATCTAACGGATGATGGAAATGAATAGAAAAAATATCTTAAACGAGATATCAAGATATCGATTTTGTTGATGTTTAGATTTTCGATTAAATAAACAATTATTAAAAAATATTAAATTTATTTAGTTTCAAAGAAAGTAAGGAATTCCTTTGACGTTTTCGTTATACTTTACACAAACTCGAATAATGCTTGTAAGTATTTTGGCTTGATTTCAAGAATTTTTGTGTTACTCAAGAGACGATTCCATAATTCTCTCCCAGTGAAAGCTTGAATGCTCATTGGGCCGATGTTAGGTGGATATCAGAAGTAATAAATTTGAAATATAGTCGTACGTTAGTCAGTATTAATTTTTCATGTTGTCAACAACGAGATTAAATTGATATCGTTTATAGAATGAGGAAAAAGAAATAATGAAATAATTCTAAAAAATTAGCCGCGTTTAGCATATATCACAGAACGAACAAGAACGTATTGGGTGCTGTGTTAACGTCTGTGAGATCTAATAAATTCTGGGAATGTCACCCGCTTTGATCTATACGTTTCTGGTTTGGCTACTGAAAGAGGTTTTTTGTACATTCCAATGTGGCGAAATTGATTCTAAAATCTAAACCACTTTCAACCGAAAAGAAAACACGGATTAATTTGAAAGAGACGTAATTAACAATTTTTGAAAAATAGTGAATATTCAATGTGGTGGTAAACTAAAGAGTTAATTCATAAACATATAAGTGAAAATAGTGGATCTAAGGACCTCGGCTTAATTAAGTCACGCATCGCGTTATCATTTTTCATGATATGTAAACGTTTAATACTAAACGGTTTTCAAGAATGTCATATTGTTTAGTTTTTGTCTTGATGTAGCGCCTCGCCCGCAAGTGACCTCGGCTTCATAAAGTTGCCCTTCTTTGAAAAGTATCCTAGTTTTGTAACGATATGGTTCATCATCTTTCTATCCTTGTAAAAACGAAATCAAAAAAACGCAAAATAACATCATAAGAAAGAGAAGTGAAGAAGAGATGTTGAGATAGATTTGGTTCTATTAAATCACGTTTCACCGCGGTTTGTAAATCTTCAAACTAATGCTTAAAATGCTTAATTAGGACAAAGTTTTCTGATTAATTCTAATTGGAGTTCAGATTATTCTGTTAACATTTTCCATACCTCGTAAAGGAAGCATGGGTCTACTTTTATGGCAATAATTCGACCTCAAAAACATAATTAGACCAAATCCCAAATTTGTTCGTAAATCTAAAAAAAACATCCAACATGAAAAGGAACTCATGGACAGAACATACATTGCTTTGGCCAAAGCCATTTACATTCCTTATGGTTTAACTCACCGACCAGAAAGTATTTTTCTACCATGCTATTGGATATATAATTTAATAATATGGAAGCTAAACCTTTTGTAGGTGCCAAAAATGTGTTATGGTTTCTACGGAGGAACCAATTTTCGGTAAATTTCTTGCGTCAGAAGAAATAAAGCATACAGGAGGGCATTTATTTATTAAAATGCAGAAATTACTTAGGAACATAATCAGACGTACTTTGTTGTCATAGGAAATAACGCATCTTAGCGGCAGTGCGGAATATACGAGACCAAGCTAATCATCCACTGATGAAAAATATGCTGTTGTCCGTATATTTATATAACATTAATAAATAACCAAAATGCAAACATTCCCTAAATATCACCAATATAGAACACCAACATCATCCAAATTGCCATCTCTCTAGGTCAAAATACTTAGTACGATCAACATTAACTCGTGTTAATATGACGTTATTAAACCACCATCGATTCAAACTTAATTCCTTCTAATATAAACGGAAGGTTGTTTCGAAAGCCAGCGATACAGAAGCCAACACATCGTTTAGAATTCATAGCCAAATTACAATCTGAGAGCAAAAGTGAAAGAGAGTAATATTGTTAAGAATTAAATTATCCTTTAATGTCGTTTAGTGTACAACCCTATTTTAATGCAACAAAAAAAAACCCGAAAAATGAAGATGTCAGATTGTGTTTCATCCATACCAGGTATTTTTATCAGTGGTAGTGGATTACGGAGTTTTCCGAGGTTTAACGCGATGACACACATATTCTGCTGCTGCAGGTGTTTGACACAAATCAATACGGTCGTTCAAAGATTGCTGGACACTAAATACATGGACTGACAAATTATCAAGCGTTCGTGATGAGCACCGTTATGTGTGACTTAACTAATATGAAAGCCACTTCGGCTAAAACCACCATGTGTACTCTTAGAGGAATATTTTCGTGTCGTGGGCACCCCTCAAAGAGACAACAAAAGATGCAACTAATTGCTTAATTTTTTGCAACTTCGCGAATTTTTGTTCAAATATATCTGATAACTGCGCCATAATTACAAAATTAATAACTCTATACTTTAGACAATATCAGAGGAAATTCGCACTGGAATTTTTTTAAAATATTCAAGTCTGAAGTCTGGAACGCACGTGCCATAACGGTATGAAAGCGAAGGTTTGTCTATGTTGCCGCCTCTCTACACATTTATGCGCATAAATACAGTTTAAGTACTCGAACTTTCAGTTTTGGTAGTCATAAGCCACTGCTACCCTATGCTTTTACTCCCACAAATGACATTGGTACAAATACTTCTCTATATACTACAATGGACAGATAGTATTCGGGTTCCAATAGAAAACCTCGATTGATAGAGCTTCGACAACTTGATAAGATCGGATTTCGTGACCCAACACCAACGTTTCACAAGCAGTGAAGTCAAATCATACTTAATCGTCTTGGGAATAGCAACATGAACGGAATTAACTGCCAGGAAGAGTTTGTAGTGGTTCCATAACAGGAATGGCTACTATTCTGCGCAAGAACTGGTTTACCTATCAAGAAATGTATGATTATGAATTTCATAGAATTTTCTCCTGCACTGTTCAAAATCGTAAAGCTGCTAAGGCAGGGCAGTGGACCATAGGTCAATTATGACAGAGGCATCAAGGAGAACGTTTTTTATGATACCGGTACAAGATTTTCAAGAATTACTTTCTTATCCTACCACCGGACGAACAACACAAGAACTTTCAGAATATCACTCTGCTGCCAAGAAGTCATAATTACTAGAGAAGTGAAATGCATACTAGTTGATGATCGGCGTCAGTCTCCTATCGATTTAGTGAGCAAAAAAGATTGGAGAAGTCGATTTTGCATTACTTACTGTAAGGACAGTTAACAACCCAAGTATGAGTGTTGGATGTTTCAGAATATACACGATATGGCACGAGACTGATATACGAATATCATGATCACTTTCGGTTCATGATATTCGTACTGCTAATGCACGTAATGCACACATAATGTATTTACATACATGTTTTATGCAACTTTTTTCATATTCTTTATGAATACTCCAATATTAGTCATGTTAAGTTTTTATAGACCTTATCATTTTGCAGCTATTCGTAGAACTTTATTTTGTAATGTTTGCAGCCTTCTAATGCTAGTTCCAGAAGCACCAGACCAAATCGGGCAAACATAACATACTCGTGATCTGATTTGAGGGTTATAAATCAGTAAAGTACGTTTGATTTTCAAAGAATTTTTCCTATTAATAATTGGGTATAGTTGTTATAGCCCAAATTTTGTCTATTATTGCATATCATCAATTCGAAACGACATTGAACCATTTAAGGAACCCAACGCTAAGTTACAAATCATTCATGGCTGGTGGAGTTAGAAATAAAACTATAAACTTCCTGGTTTAGTGGTGCCAAATGTCATATGGATGCAACATTCTTCAGAATAACGTTTAAATGTGATAAATCAAAAACCATAAATAGTTAAATAATAAAAAGTATGGTATTCGAGATTATTAGATTATTTAGTAATGAATTGTAACTATTATGCACATATTATTGTATATTACTACTGTTGCTATATTTACGATATCCA